CCATATCATTGAAGTTTCACTTTTGGGAGCTATACCAAAGTAAAACTTCAACGAGTGGTGTCGCCGCCAACAAAGTGTGTGAAAAGTTGGGGTTTCCAGACGTAGCCAGGGTGGAGGCAGTTGGAAGAAGCGGTAGTATCTGGGTTTTTTGGAATGACAACTCTGTCTCGGCTGAAGTGTATTCTGCTGGCCCTCATCACCTCTCGTTGAAGATTGACAAAGCCTCTATGCCCACTTGGATCTTGACGGCGATTTACGCGTCCCCTCGACAGCAAGATCAAAAGCTTCTCTGGAACTCCATCATCGCGCAAAGTGCTGACATCACGTGCCCATGGTTGATGACCGGTGATTTTAATGCCATCCTCACGCCGGAAGAAAGGTTCGGAGTTGCCACTGCTACCACTTTCCGTCGGTGCAAAAGATTTAGTGATTGGATCAATCTTGCGGAATTGATTGAACTCGGCTTCTCCGGTCCGATCTTTATGTGGACTAGAGGGAACCAAGTTGAAACTTACAAAGCTAGTCGCCTGGATCGGAGCCTGTGTAATATGGAGTGGAATGAGACCTTCCCGAATACTTCAGTCACGCACCTTCCTCGCACAAGCTCTGATCACCACCCAATCCTTACTACAGTGTCTTCTCAGGGAGTCCCTTCTCACGCTCCTAAAAGGTTCAAGTTTGAAGCCGCTTGGCTGACTCATAGTAATTTTAAGGAGTTTTTGACTACTTCTTGGAATTCGCAGGTGAACCTTCCTCAAGCCCTGCATGAGTTCACTGGGAAGCTGCAAGACTGGAACAGATCTGTGTTTGGTAATGTGCACCAACGTAAGAAGAGACTGTTGACAAGAATTGAGGGAGTCAAGCGACGCCTTGCTACTGCCTTCAATCCGGGTCTTGCCAAGCTGCATTCCAAGTTGGAGGCCGAGTTAGATTTGACCATGGGACAGGAGGAGCTCCTGTGGTTTCAACGGGCTCGAGAGAACTGGGTGAAATTTGGGGAGCGGAACACAACCTACTTCCATCAAATGGCCAACATTCGAAGACGAGCCAATAAAATTGCGTCCCTGAAGAATGCTAGTGGGGACTGGATTCAGGATGTTTTGGAGCTCAAGTCGATAGTTTTTGATTTCTATGTTGAGCTCTATATGCAGGATGGCGGGCTGTATGTTGATCGGATGTCAAAGGAGATGTTTCCGCGGCTTAGTCAGGAGGAGTGGATGTATCTTCTCCGTCCTTTCACAATCATGGATATTCAAAAGGCGATCTATGAAATGAAACCACTTCAGGCACCAGGTCCGGATGGTTTCCAGACAATTTTTTATCAGAAGGCGTGGAGTGTAGTTGGAAAAGCGTTAACCGATGGTGCTCTCTCTTTTTTTAGGGTGGGGCTCTCCCAGAGGAGGTTACTTCCTCGACGATGGTGCTTATCCCGAAGGTGGAGAACCCGGAGACCGTTAGCCAACTCCGCCCCATATCACTGAACAACGTCAGCCTGAAAGCCATTACTAAGGCAATGACAAGCAGACTGAAGCCGATCATGAGGAAGCTTGTGTCTCCTCGCCAGAGCAGTTTCATTCCGGGTCGTCAAACAATGGATAACATCTTGGTGGTTCAGGAGGTGCTGCTGCATTCTCTCAGAAAGAAGAAGGGGAAGAAAGGTGGTTTGGTAGTAAAAATTGACTTGGAGAAAGCCTATGACAGACTCCGGTGGGACTTCCTTCGCGACACGCAGTGCGAGATTGGCCTTCCCAGTTCTTGGATGTGTCTTGCTCTAACCCATCTTTTCTTTGCCGATGATCTTGTTCTTTTTAAGAAGCAGAAGGCGTGCTGGTGCAGGTGATCAAACGGTGCCTAGAGGACTTCTATGAGAGCTCAGGGCAGCGGGTTAGCTATGCTAAATCCTCCTTGTTTGTTTCGCCTAATGTCCACCAAGACAGAGCACAACGTTTGAGTGACAGGGCGGGCATCCCCTCACGAAGGACCTTGGACGCTATCTGGGGATTCGAACCATTCACGGCAGGATCATGAAGATGCGATATCAAGACTTGGTTCTTAGGATAAAAAAGAAGCTGGCACCCTGGAAAGCTAGGCGTTTGTCTATGGCAGCCAGGCTGATAGTATTTCGCTCCGTATCCTCGGTAATTCCCATCTATCCTATGCATTCTGAGCTTATTCCGATGAATGTGTGCAATTCTATTGATAAGATGAACATGGACTTTGCGTGGGGAGATGAGGAGGGCCAGGGGAAGATGCATCTGGTGGCGTGGGATAAGCTCCAGGAGCCGAAATGGCTGGGTGGAGCGGGGCTGCGAACCTTGAGGCAAGCCAACCTCGCTCTCCTCGCTAAAGGTGGATGGCGGATCCTGACCGAGAGGGACAGCTTGTGGACCCAGTTAATGAGGGTGAAGTATGGTAAACAGCGGGAAGGCCTGACCATATTCCAGCCTAGTCAGGGAAGTTCCTTTGCCTGGAGAAGTTTTAACAAAGCTTCTGATCTCTTGAAAAAGGGAGTGGCATGGAATATTCATAATGGAAGGAAAACTAATTTTTGGCAGGACATGTGGGTTTTGCAGGTACCTCTAAAGACGGTCGCTCTCCAGCCCATTCCAACGGAGATGCTCGCAGAAGTGGTGGCGGACTACGTGGATGCTAATGACCATTGGGACGTTGCTCACCTGGAACCATGGTTGCCCACGGAGATCATTCACAAAATCACGGCGACGGCGGTGGATCCCCTCTCGTCCTGCCCTGATACTCTGTTCTGGACTGCCTCTCCAAGTGGCAGATTTACGGCGAAGTCGGCATATCAGATGGCTTATGCGGGCAGATCGAACCAAAATGAAAGGCTCTGGCGGAAGGTGTGGCGGCTGCAACTCCCGGAGCGCATTCGCGTTTTCACTTGGCTGGTTACCCTGGGGAGTATTGTGACCAATGGGTTGCGGTACTTCAGGAAGTGTGCTCCCTCGCCGGCGTGCAGCAGGTGTGAAGGAGTCCCGTAAACTATTCTTCATGTTCTCCGGGATTGCCCGCCTGCACACTTCTTTTGGAGTAGACAAATCCCGGTGGCAGATCAGGGGAGCTTCTTTTCAGCCAGCCTGGAGAATTGGATATCCAAGAATGTTTTCAAGGATGACTTGCTTCCCTCTGGAATGGCGTGGTGTGATTTTTTTGCAGCTGCTATTTGGCTCCTCTGGAAGAACAGGTGTCATATGTGCTTCCATGGAGCAGCAGGAGCACTCGCCGCTCCATCTCTGGCGCATGCGATCGTGCACAAAGCCTCTCTCTGGCACGGTGCGTGGAGATCGGCTAGCACAGCTGAACTGCGGACCCCCTCCCTGTGGCGGAAAGAGTGGTGGCTAATATTGGGTGGACTGCGCCACAACCGGGCTGGCGGAATCTCAACATCGATGGGGCCTCGGCGGGGAACCCCGGTTTGGCAGGTGGTGGAGGGGTTATCCGAGACGAGCAGGACAGGTGGGTAGATGGGTTTGTGGCCCAGATTGGAGAGGCCACCGCTGGTTTGGCCGAGTTATGGGCTCTCTTTCATGGGTTAAATCTTGCTTGGAGCCATGGCTGCTACAATCTTCAAGTGGAAACTGACTCCTAGTTGGTTATACAGTGGATCAAGAATCGGGTAGACCCTCTCCACCCCCATGCCTCCCTATTGTCCTCGATAACGAGATGTTTAGCTCGCGATTGGTTGGTCAATATAGCGCATACATATCGCGAAGGGAATAGAGTCGCGGACTGTCGAAGCACAGTCTCGTCTATCCCTACGGTATGCATGAACTTATTGACCCACCAAGTGATTTGGGACGGCTTCTTCATGATGCTGTGATGGGTGTGACTTTTGAGCGTCGAGTTGTAGCCTCGGCTCCCCTGTAAACCCCCTTCCCCCTGTTTTCTCCCTTCTTGGCTTATGCCTCCTTTGATGCAAAAAAATATATCATGTTTTTTTATCGAAATTTGTGCTAGACTTTATTAGTTAGAGAACATCATATATCATTAAAGTCAATAAATTATGCATCCTTTCAATTTTCTATTTATCTAAATTAAAGATTTGAGATAAAATATAATTTCTTAGACACGTAAGCCTATGCCTAGTCGCATCATTACAAATTTACAATTTTGCTAGCTCAAACCTTCAATATCCAATCCAAACTAGTTAACCAACCCACCCAAAACCAACCCAAACCACCATCACTGCCCTCTCCCTCTCTCGGATGACAATGATCCCTCACCGCTAGGGATGGTAATGGGTCGGGTTCGAACGGGTTTTGCCAAATTCGTACCCAAACCCATGGGTTTATTCGCCAAAAAAATTTTGGGGTAAAACCCGTTGGGTTTGAAAAACTCAAACCCTACCCAACCCGCTGGGTATTCGCGAGTTCATGGGTACCCGTAGATTTTGTGTAATTTTTTTTTACAAGAACAAGTTTCTTTCAAAATAAAAGTCTAAATAAATTTTCTCATACAAATTATTCATACAAAAAAACACCAATTTAGAGCAAACAAGCAAATAGCAAATTATCAATACAAATTGTTCAAAATTAAAGATAAACATCTATAAACAATATGATTAATTGAAAGCTTCTTCCTCTAATATCAACTTAATTCTACACAATTAGAAAGAACAAATTAGACATGTCTCCACAAACATAAAGAAGATTAGTTGTTTAAGGAAGATATATTACTTAAAATATTAAATATATCAAAAAAATTAATTATATGGGTGTGTGCGGGTACACATGGGGTGGGTAATGCCTAAAGCCCTAAATCCAAATCCAACCCGTGAACAGTGTAGCGGGTTTAAACCCGAACCCGTCAACACAAATTTTAACCGCATTGACCGAGTTGAGTCGGGTAGGGTACACGTGGGTTCGGGGTTTTGTTGCCATCCATACTCACCGCCACTTCCATCGGCGAATCCCTCAACCCTCCACATATGAAGCCGGAAAAAATAGCAATACGATATTTTATGATAAAAATGTGACTTAATTGTAGTTCAACCATCAGTATCATTAAATACCGCTTACCAGTTTAACTTCCAATACTGATATTTCGTAGTTAAACCGCAGGTAGGATACGATTTCATGCACCATCCCTTATACCCCTATTTATACTTGTGATTGTATTTGGCTTGAGAAGTGTAGAGCAAAATGAACCGGAACAAAATGTGAAGAACAGTAAACGAGATGAGAGAAAGGGAAACCAATTTCCCGCCATTTGTTCAACTGTTCAGAATGCTACTTACAGAGTTAATTTTCCCTCCCTTTTCTACAACACCTCCTTTTCAAGCTTCAACACAGCCATGAATGCTTCCTGAGGCACATCCACCTTTCCTATCGCCTTCATCCGTTTCTTCCCTTCAGCCTGCACAACAACCATAACCATGAATACACAAAAATAAATAGATAATTGACGCGGCCCGACTAATCCTTCAAAAACCAAGGGGTTCCTTGAAAACCTCATCCCTGCATAGAACACCAGAAAAAGATACCTGTTTCTTCAGCAATTTCTTCTTCCTTGAAATGTCACCTCCTGCACCATAAAAGGGGAAACAAATGGTAAATACTGTTTGCACCAATGTATCCTAGAGTAGAAGCTATCATAAGCGTCTTGACCGGGATTAATCGCTTTAGAGTCACTCTTCGTAACTTACCATAGCATTTAGCCAACACATCCTTCCTGATTGCTGATAATGCCTCGCTTGCTATAACTTTTGAACCAATACATGCCTGCAAACACAATTTGACCAAAACAGAGTTTGGTTGAGCATGGACTATCTTTTCGTCACTTCATAATGCATACCAGATTGATCCAAGACATTGAAATATAGTCAAACAGAATGGAAGTTACAATTTGCTTGAAGAACATTATACAGAATTGTGAAATTGAGTACTCAATTATGATTTATAACCACCATTGGTACTGTAAACGATGAAGCAGAAACTCTTACTTGAATGGGCACTTTAAACATTTGCCGGGGTATTAGCTCTTTTAGCTTTTGTGTCAAAGCTCTTCCAATGGGATATGCCTGCAAGCAGTGTTGATGTTTACTGGTAAACAAGTTGTTTCAAAAACCAATCAAAACTGCAGGGGACAATCAGCAAATATCACGAACTATAATCTGTAAGCTTTTAACTAACTCTAATATGAGCAGGCCTGTCTCTTCATCCTACTATTACGTGGTTTATATTCTTCTAACTGTTGCAACCAGTTAGGAAATCAGCTTACAACAGAACTATGAACAGAAGCAATACATACAAACAACAAGAATGCCACATCAGCTGGTTAACATCATTCAAGTGGACCTAAATGATATAAATATCTATCCAATAACCAAATTTGACCTCAAAATTTTCACCTTATCTTTGTGCACGATTGTTGCCAACGGCTCAACAGGCTCACCATTAATGTGGACGTCTAGCTTTATCAGATCACTTTCTTCGTACCTAACGATCAATATCACAACAAAAGATCAAGCCTCTTATCATTTCCTCAGCAATCCAAGAGTTAAGACTATTACAGCAACAAAGTACCAAACAACCTAATCACTTTTAATGTGTACCAGAAACATGATAGATTAAATGCGTACACAAGTCTATAAAATAGTCATCTAATCAACTTTAGTGGTCACGTCAGTTTGCCCATTGAGGTATTTTCAGTTTTCATCAAATATGAGAAATTTCCCTTCTCGGGTACAAGTCCCCATCAAACCCATAACAATGGAATATTCAGATCAGTTTTCAGCAGTGCTTTTTTTTCCAATGGAATATTCAGTAGTAGCACAGCATGACAGCTATAGTAACATAGTGGTCAAATTATGACATCAAAGTGAGGAACTTTTCAATCTAAGCATCGAAGAAAGAATTTGAGGAGACACTGACAAAATGAGACCGTTGTTTAAGCATATATGGTGGTCTATTTGCTCTATTCCAATGGAGATTTAGTTCCACATATCTCAGTTCTACTAGCAATCGTACTTGAATTAAGGAGACTTGAGAACGGTCATCAATGCCAAGGCACTGGCTGTGCAGTAAGAAAGATTGCCTTGCTGAAAAGAGAAGTCAAATCTGGTTGGTTCTAGAGATACGGGTACAAGACTCGACCCTCAACTAGGACTACATTATGTATTGATCAAAATTCAGCATTGTCACTGGATCTATGTTCCATAACTCCAAAAAGGACCGAATATAGAAGATCAGGTCACAAAATAAATTAAAGTAACTGAGATGTCCTAGCTTGACACTCCTAGAAAGAAATGGGTCAAGTGTAGCATTAAATTGCGAATTTCCAAAAGAGAAATGTATCCCTAGAAAGATAAGTCAACTATGCAGGGGAAATTAACAAGCTTGGATTATGCCACCGTAAATCTTATTCGAAGACAATTCCTCATAATTTACCCGACAAAAGTGTATTCCATGCTAGCATATCCTTTACTTCTGGACTTCAGCTGGTCAAAAAAGTCACCCACCATCTGTCACACAAATACACAGATAATTTTTTTAAAATGACGCTTGTAAAAGAACAGTTTGTCAAAGAATTAGCAATCAACAAGACTGTAGATTTTAGAAGCCAATTGGCAACAACAAACCAAACTCCACCTCTGCCAAGGGCAACTTGTAAGTGAGCGATGCCCTATTCTCAGCGATATACTTCATTTCTTTAAACTCTCCTCGTCTATCTTGAGCAAGCTCCATAAGCGAGCCGATATAGTCTTTGGGTGTAAGCATTTCAATCTGTATGAAATTCAAGCTTGAGTAAAGTGACGCTTTCCATGCCCTGGACAAGACGTGTACTAGATTTGAACATCATTTTAAGAGAATGAAAATTGCAAAAGGATCACCTTCACTAAAGGCTCCTCAATTGATCTCCGCAGGCCAGGTTCAGGAAGCGCAGATGGGTTTGAACACTCCACCTTAGAAAAATTGGATGATATCATTGGGTTAGCACTATGTAGAACTTGTGAGTGTGCATTATTAACAAACAACAAGAACTTCCATCTGCAAGTGAAAAACTAGGTCTAGAATTAAAGTAATGATTGATCTACGTATTGCATGGAACTTTATGTAAAAAGTGCTTAGAGAACTGAATTATTATTTTCAGACCTTCTGGTAATGTAGAGATCTGAATTACAACTCCTATGCAATAATAAACTATGTAATGCAAGCATTAAAGGTGGCCAACATACAGTAACTTCCACAAGATGATGCAAAATCTAATGCAGGCGGACGGTGGATCCAAATGAAGGATAAGCGTAAAAATACTTATGCATTTAGTTCAAGTAAAATCATGGTAAATTTTCATGTCAATGCGTAAGGGATGCAGCATAGAAGCAGACCCATAATTTCTAAAAGGCAAGTAATCTTTTCTAATGAAGGCGAGAAATTACAGTTTCACCGCTTGTGCAGTTCACTCTGTAGACCACACTTGGAGCAGTAGTTATTAAGCTGAGATTGTATTCCCTCTCAAGTCTTTCCTGCAAGAGGACAAATTAATGGTGCGCATATACCGAAACTCACATGATTGCTTAGAACCATAAAGTAAAGCAAACCTGAACAATTTCCATGTGAAGAAGCCCCAGGAAACCACACCTAAAGCCAAAACCCATGGCACTTGATGTTTCCGGCTCAAACTGCAAGGTTGTGATTCAAACAGAAGAAATTCTTATTCAGTAATATTCCCAAATCAAAGTTCACGGCGGAGTTCAGAGGAAGTGATTGCAGTTCAGAGCATGACATTGGACAGGAACCACCGGAAACGAGACTATTACCCGGTATCTAAACAGGACCAACCTACAGCCCAAAAACTGTGAGTAAGGCATGCCAAAGGCCCCAAGTAGTCAAAATAAGCAGGCAGAAACAGTGAAGTATGAATATAGGCCAAATTCCAAAAGCATCCAAAGACAAATAACTATTAACTTGATCCCTCAGAAACTCAATAATCCAGAAATGATTACCCAGGTCATATACCTTGAGTGCAGCATCATTTAGCTGCAGCTTTTCCAGTGCCTCACGTAATTCAGGAAACCTGTCAACAAAAATTAGCATGAGCTCATCAGAAACACTAATGGATAGAAGTAGTGATCTGTTAATTTAACAAATCAATGAGAATCTCCATACTGGTCAGCATCAACCGGAAACAGCCCACAGAAGACCATCGGGGTAGCTTCTTCATATCCAGGTAGTGATGACTCTGCCTTTCTACTGAAGTGCGTAATAGTATCACCAACCCTGGCATCTGCTACCGATCTTATAGAAGCTGAGATGTAACCCACCTGGATGGAAAACATACCAAGTATATAGAAAGTTCAAACATAATGACCAAAACTAGTCAAGAAAACAAATTAAAGTACAAGGGATCCTGCCAATGAACTGAAGAGCTATGTATTTCTTTCAAGTGTAGTTCCAAAAAAGAATAGAACCAGTTTTCAGAAGTATATAGGAAATTCAGCCGGAAATAGCAGAAACAGGTTGCAAAAGGGACCCATGAGGGGAAAAAAGAAAGGAATCAGTGATACATAGACTATCCATTACAACGCACCACGAACTAGAACCATGAATTACCTCACCCGCATATAATTCATCCACTTCTAACTGATTCGGTGATAAAACTCCAATTTCATCAACAAAATAATCCTGTTGTTGGCAAAAGAGGAAAAACAATTCAGCATCCGCGTACATACCTACAGGCAAAAATATTCTGATGGGAATTACCTTTTTGCTGGCCATAAAATAAATCCTGTCACCTTTCTTTACGGTCCCATCTATCACACGGAAGTACACAATAACACCACGATATGGGTCATAGTAACTGCACAAAATTACGCCAGGGTCATAAAGGCGTAAAAGTACAGGGTACATTTCGTGGGTACATCGCAGTAGCAAAAGAAAGTGCTGCAACCAGGATACCACATACCTGTCAAAGATTAAAGCGCGTAAGGGCTTTTGAGAAGTATCAGTGGGAGGGGGAATTCTTTTCACAACTGCATTCAGAATGTCAGTTATCCCGATACCCTCCTGTTCAACCATTGAGAATTAGTAATATCATAGAAGGTTGACACGTTACAGAAATGGCAAAATCCAAAAGCAAACCTTTGCAGAGCACAGAATGGCATTGCTACAATCTAAGCCAATCACCTGCAGGAATACATCAGTAAGCTTCCATCAGTTTTCCTGTATTACAAACAAAATAACCCCATATTCTCAGGCCATCAAGGATTACATTCAACTTATCAAACAACTATCTTAATATACCGTTAAGTTCAGCAGAAGAAGCCCAATACCATCAACTGGCAGAAAGACTACTATAAACTTTTCCCTAGAATTTACCGAAGGACCTAGATACGCGCACTACAGCAAGATAAATGAAACTGAAACAAAGTTGACCAATAAAGCAGTAAAGCATAACTAAGGCATGCATACTCAAATTAAGCTTCATTATAGATACACACCCATCAAACATATGGATTCCTCCATTCTGTGCACCAACCTCTTCAATCTCTTGGAGAACACGATCCGGTTCAGCACCTGGTAGATCAATTTTATTTAAAACCTGTTAACAGAAAAGGAACGATATGAGTGAAATTTTGAGCAAGTCAAACAGTGAGGGACCAAAACAAGATGCAAGCATTGCTAATGACTTACCGTAATAATTTCTAAATTGTTTTCCAAAGCCAAATAAACATTAGCCAATGTTTGCGCTTCTACTCCCTGATCAGGACAAAATACATTCAACGACAATTAATCAGAGAAGCAGCAATCAACATAAGCATAGATTACACAACGCAGTAAGTAACTCTCTAAGCGTGATTTGGATACAGAAGTTGTGAAGTTAGACAAAAGTTCACCTGAGAAGCATCAACAACAAGCAAAGCGCCTTCACAAGCAGCAAGCGAACGAGACACCTGTTCAAACACGGTGCGAAGTCAAGTACTTAGGAGTAGACATTCAGCGGAATCTGTGATCATAATCATGCTTCATATTCAGATTTTCAGTGAGGTCTAAACCTAAATAGAATCAGCCATCTCCGGAGGGAACTCAGTTCACTATCAAACCTACCATCGCATGCTTGCTCTTTTACAGTCTAGCTAGTTCCAAAACTCACGAGATTACAATTGGGAACCAATACCTCGTAGGAGAAGTCTACATGGCCAGGAGTATCAATCAAATTGAGGCAGTAGGGTTCACCATCACACACGTAACGCATTCGAGCAGCCTGGAACCAGAAGAAGAGCAGCAATTGGCCAAAGCCTAAGAAATCAAAGGCGCACTAATGCACTATAGCTACTTGAATGAAGTCTGAAAAGCAATCAGAGAGTAGTGGTAGAAGAACCTGAAGCTTGATAGTGATGCCCCGCTCTCTCTCCAAATCCATGTTATCAAGGAATTGGTCCTTCATTTCTCGCTTCTGAACGGTACCAGTGGTCTCAAGCAATTTATCGGCTAAGGTCGACTTCCCGTGGTCGATATGCGCGATGATGCTGAAATTCCTGATGTTCGGGACCGGAACTTTGAGAAGACGCTGCTGGCCAACTTGAACGGCGGTGCCGTTCGTCGCGCCTTTTCCCTGGCAGAAGAGTCTTCGCCATCTCCTCTTCCTGTTACTGGTGGTGGTGTTGAGGAGAGAGGGAAGCGAGAGTGAGAACGAAAGGTTAGAGGAGAGAGCAGATGAAGAAGAAGATGCGAGGGGCTGCGGAGGGCAGCAGGTTCGACTGTCGGTAGAGAAGAGAAGTTTAGGAGGAGGAGTGAGCAGAGTCGCCATTGTTGGTTGGCTTTCTGAGGTTTGAAACTTCAATTGGGCATTATCCCTTCCTCCTTTGCTATGTTGTCCTTCCTGTTCCCATACATTTCATCCTCGAAATTTTGCCGGCAACTTGATTCATTTCCACTCCGCCTCCCTTTTCTATTTTGGGATTTAGCATTTTTCTCTCAGTTTTTTCTGTGGCTTTGGATTCGTTGAGTTTGGGATTGGTTAATGACCCATTAATCATATCTTCAGATGGCCCACTGAAGCTAAAGCCCAATAAGATCATGTTGGGCCACCGCTGGTTGTTTTAGTTCTTAGGCCTTTGGGTTTAAGGGTGTGCAATGGTTCGGACCGTATCAAATTGACAATAATTGCGGTTCAATAATGAAAGGCATTTTAGGAGTAAGAATCGGATTAATTGTGCATTATTTATGGTTTAGTCTAATTTAAATATCAATTCGGTTCACTTTTCTTTAGTATTTATAAAACTCATGAGACCAAAGATCATACCACAATATATTTGGTTCAGTATTGTCAAGTTTGACCCAAGCGTTCGATTTGATCCGGTGTGCATGATCCAGTACGAATCAAACTGTTGCACACCCCTATTTAGGAGTAGGCAACTAAGTTTTTCAGTCTGCAATTTGATATTGACCCATAAATAAAAAATCATTATCTATGAGCGATTTGAAGTGCATAAATCTTGGATCAACAAATCTCCTATCATCACTTACTTAGATAGATAGTGCACGAGTTGCGTGTCACTCGGATAGCCCGCTCCTTGCTTTTACATGACATAGTTGTTTCTTTTTTTTTATATATCATATAAGAATTATCATATTTTCTGTCCCGCACATTAAGCATTGACTTCTAAATTCGAAAATTAAAGATTTTTGGACTAGTATGTTGCCTGATGTGCTTTAGATATTGGGATATGAATTAATTACCAACAAATAATTATGTAAAAGTTGAATATGAATTAATTTTCACAATTGGTTGATGGATTAATGAAATAATAATAACATTGGGCAAAGAAGTGAAATCCATGCATGAGAAGTCGTGGTGTGTAATGATAAGTGGTTAGTTACTTTCTTTTCCCTGTCGAAAAATACTTCGTTTAAAGTTACCAAATGAAAATTGGTAGAAGAAATTAAAATGTTTTCAAGCCGCAGTACTTTTGAGATCCACGAGAAGCAAATCAGGAAGTGCTAAATTCCTATAATCTTTCTAATTCATTTATAAAATAAACTAATGTAAATATTAATCAACCCGACTAGTGACTAATTTTTTCTTTTTGACAAAAGATAATCATATATTGATTGAAAAAACTAGTTAAAGAATGATTCTTGTGGATTAACCCAACCAAACTATACACCCGCCACCCACGACCCAACCGGAAAAAAATCTTGGAGGGATGCGGATGAAAATCACACCAATTCATTAATAAGTGGGTATATAAGTTTTAGACCTAAATCCACACAATCCATCTGTTTGCTATTGGATTGATAAATAGAGGTGTCCGTAGAGGATCTCAGATTGCCAAATCTCTTGAAGAGGGTGAATGACTAGAGTTTCTCAAGTTAACAAAGACTTCACATTAAAAGAATCGAATTTACAATGGGCTTTCTTTAGTGTCTGACCTTATACAGCCTTTTCTTTCTGATATCAAGTATTGCAGATAACATAGAGGATGATTCTGGACTTAATTTGCCGCATGCACATATAATTACAACTCTCAGACACAAAAAAAAAAAATAGTTTACCTTTTCCCTTGTCGCCGTTTTCTCCGCAATCACTACTATTGAGAAGCAGGACAAAAACGAAAGGGAAGGAAAAGAACCCTAAATAACAGCAGAAGAAGAAGAAGACCGTTAATGTCTATGAATAATGGCTAATGACGGTCACTTCCAAAAAAAAAAAAAAAAAAAAAAATCTCCAAAAACTAGTTACATGGTTAATTAGCTTGCAATTAGGTACGTATAAAGGTAATTTAGCCAAAAATAGTGGGACATGAATCCCAGCTGGCATTCTCCCTAGCCTCCCAATAACCACCATTGTACCGGTACCCGCCGCCGCCGCCGCTGTTACTATTCCCATTCTCTACTTTCTCCTTCGCAAACCACATCGGCTTCCAACCGCTTTCTTGCATCTTCCTCGCCTGTTGTCACACGTAACACGTGTCAGTTTCAATACCATCATTCGTTAAAAGAAGAAGACAAAAACCCACTAACCTGTCGTTGCCTTTGTTCTAACCGTAACTTCTCGGCGTCGGCCATATCATATTGCCCCTTCTCCAAGCATCTCTGGTCTGGTCTCAGCCTCGAATCGGTCGGCGGCAACTTCTCCTGCAAGAAAAATTAAATACATACTTAGCTTTCATTTCCATCAAATGATATATTTCAAGCTTGCATGCATGCATGCATGCATGGACGTGCCTCGAGGCCCGGCGTGAGCTCGTTGAGGGTGATGGCGAAGCGGGACAGATTGTATCGGGTCGGGTATTTGGCGGGCTTGCTCCGCTTCCACAGCAGCTCCGGGTCGGGTTTCTTCTTGTTGTTATCCGACTTGATGATGTAGTGCATGCTGTCGTTCCATTTCCCCAGCAGCGTCGCCACCGTCTTCCCGCTGCTCTTCTCCTCCACGATGCCTTGAACCTGGTGAGGGTTCCGGTCGATCATGGATTGCTCCTTGAACTTGAGCTTGCAGGAGTACTTCCCGCTGCCTTCTATCTTCATCGTGCCGTGGTGGTCGCAGTAGATCTTGCCTAGGATCAGGTTGTAGATGGACGTTGTGACTTTGCTCCAGCGGTAAACTTCTCCGTCGTCGAACTCCAACGTCAAGACGCCGACGGGGTCGATCTGGATCGAGCGCCCCCAGAATTTGCTCTTCAAGTTGCTGTCTCCCCACATTTTCCACCCGCGGCCCTCGCAGTGACATGCCACCACCATTGGATGATGACTCACCTAATCAATTGATAATAATGGGTTAAGTCATAATAATTCACTAGTTATATAGAGGCAAAATTCATTCCCATAGCCATAACTTTGCGCTTTGTGACAAATATAGCCAGATTCTGAGAAATACACAGAAATAGCCAAAAATTTAAAAATTCGTTGTCAGTAATAGCCATTTCCGTTATTAAAGATGACGCCGTTAGGGATGCCGTTAATTACATGTTTGCGTCGCTGATGTGGCCGATTTCTGAACTCCACGTCGGCGCCAACAGGACTGAAGTTGCCACCAAAGCGCCACGTCATCCAGAGGAGAGAGAACCGGTTGGGGAAATTAACCCGGAACCCTAATTTCCCAGCGACTTCTTCTCCATCTCAAAAATCGATTTCATCCCCCTTCCCAGAGAAAACCCCGATATCGGCTTCCTAGCGGCAGTCTGAATCCGGCGAAGAACCCTCGACCCATTCACCGATTTCGCCGACCCCTGGTCCCCTCGGCCCTTCTCTCTCTCATTTTCCGATCTCGTCGACCCACCCAGAAAAAATCCCGAAATCGCCTTCCATCTTCCTCGTAGCGGCAGTCTGAATCCGGCGAAGATCCCTCGACGCCTCGACGCCGTGGTTCCCCTCGTCCCTCCCATTCGCCGATTTCCCCAACCCCTGGTTCCCACCATTCACAACCATCCACACAAACAGAGGCGAGAGTAACAGATGGATAGGGTGAAGTAGTAACAGAGGCGAAGCAGAGGAAGAGGCGACGAGTTCTTACCAAAACAGATTAGGGTTCGAGCTTTGTTTTTCGCTTTTTTACAGGAATGCAAGTTTTCGACCTTCGCAGAGTGAGCACGATACAGCCCACTTATCCTCTTCGCCGTCGAGGACTGGAAGCGAAGTCCCAAGTTCCTCTTAAGCTGCCCGATAGTGAGAAGCCATTTCTGTGTTCGTCAATTGAAAGGGAGACGAGGCGATTCGACGGCGAAGTGATAGAGGCGAGAACCACCGTCGACCAAGGCCAGATGACCGGATGACTGTGTTGGTCGATTCACAGTCACCGGCGAAGAGAATCGATAATGGTGGCGGAGATTTAGGTTTTGGCTGGGTCTTCGCGAAGAGGGGAAGGGAGAAAGAACGAAAGGGATTTCTGTTGGTTCTTCTCCAAAAAGGTGAAAATTGGTAAAGTAGGGTAAAAAGTAATTAATGAGAATTAATTAATTAATTTCCACGTTGGCATACACGTAGACCAAATTAAACGCGGCCATTTGGTTCGTTTGTCCAGTCAGCAGGCGTTATGTTTTCTGTTACATTATTGGACGGAATGGCTATTTCTGTGTATTTCTCAGAATCTGGCTATATTTGTCACAAAGCGCAAAGTTATGGCTATGGGAATGAATTTTGCCTTATATAGATTTCACAAATTATGATCCAACCAGAATGCCCAAAAAACAAATTGGGTTTAAGCTTTTTTTTATAATCCGAAGCTTGAATGACCTGAATCCGATCAACTCATAATTTTTTTTTGGATTAGGTGGGACAATCAATCAACCCGCTTCGGATGCTATTCACCCAAAATGAAAATATCACTTATATAATGATTAAATGTGTAAAAAAAATCACAATGATTCTGAAAGACAAATTTGAAGTGTAGTGGTACTCAAATATTATCTTTGTATAGTTTCTTTGGCTCTTCCTGCAATTTATATTTTCTTTCATTAATATTTGAGCATTTGAGAATAATGAATCGACATGTGTAGGTAAATCATTGTCTTACAATTATGAAAATTTGTTATATAAAAAAAAATTTGTGAAATAATTGTGTTGTTTAAAATTTGAAGCACTTTTGTTCGTGTTTGACAATAATCACTCAAAAATCCAAAATTAGCCGAAATTTGAGCTGAAGTCATGAATCAACCCGACATGACCCAACGACCCATAACCAAGATCACGCAAACGGAAATTACCTAACACAACCAGATTGCCTGCTCTACACTAATTAACGTAACTAATACTCGACTAATTAAGATATAAATATACCTTTTCGGAGATAAATCTTAGGCCTTTGTCTGGAAAATCTGCTTCGTACGTCTCACCTAGCAACGGGTTGAATGGCTTACAAGCTCTCCCGTCAGTGGAAGCATACCCCGATACCGCAAATGCTGCTATATTCAGTATCCTCATTAAGCTATCGTCCTACAAAAAGAAAGTCAAACCGTCAACTCAAAAATTAATCACGCTATTAATAAAGAACTAATTAAATCAGCAAATCGCTAGAAAACGCAATTAATTACAAACTTACCGTCTTACCACATTCATGAGCCCGATCCAAAAGGTAGGAGTACTCGAGATCCTCGAAGCACTTCTGGAGAGAAGAGATCGGCTCGTTGAAATATACGGGCAGGCAAATCTTGCCCAGATCTTTCCCGATGTTGTCCTTGATCATTGACCACAGGCTGACCGCTTTTTCCTTCTCCGCCGGCTCCGGCAACTTCTTCCGCCGCCTCACGTGCGGATACTTGATCGACCCCGCGCCCCCAACCGATCCATCGCCGCCGTCGGGATCTTGATTCCCGCCGCCGTTGCCGTCATCGTTTTCGTCGTCTTCAGAATCATCCGACGTCCGATCGTGCACGTCGGCATCGTCGGCGTCGTGATTCCTGAAGGAGCCCGTGGACGAGAGGAAATCCCGAGTGTCGAAGAATTCTTCCTCTTCGTCCTCCGTCTCCCCGCCGTCGTTTCGGTCGCGCTCCTCTTCTTCCTCGTCCGACTCGCTTCCGGTACTGTTTAATTCTGAGAAACCCAAACCCCTAACTAATTATATTTTAAATGATAAATGATGATTGTTTATAAAAATAAATGTTGAATAATTAGCATAGTACTTCCCCCAACAAATAAGGAAGCAATGTATAATTTATATTCTATAATGTTGTAATGGTGTAGTTAGACTCTCCACAATATATTTTTTCAATTATTAAAGTTGCGGCTTACCGTTAGTTTTGATGCCGCGTTTCTTCGACTGATTTTTGCTTTCATCAACCACAGTGTTCTCCAAGTCTACTTTCTCTGTCTACAGTACACATGCAGAGAATGTATCAGTACTATATCGTATATAACAAGAACTCTGGCTTTTTGCTTAATGATGCATGAATTAATGGGTTTTAATTGTTAACATGGGACGAACTAATTCGGAACATGCTAAGATTAAAGATATGTACTTCTAAGTTTGTTATTTAAAGATGCTAAATAATGAGTATTATTATTGGCGCATCTTCCAGCACATTTTCATTTGTTAAATTAATATGATGACATTTCTTTACAAAATGTCACTTACCACTTAATCCAACGTATAAAAATGTACATAATTAAGTGATCCAACATATTAACATATTAAGACAATTATGGACGATGACAACTAATATATGATAATGTGTTTTTTTTTTTGTAATGAGTATCTAACAATGTCAGTAATAACATGAAGAATAATGAATGAATATGTGGTAATATATAATTAGGCGTTTGCTTGCCTCTAAGTGGCGCAAAGTGTCAACAAGTAGCACCTGCTTCTGGTTGAGGTGGAGGACGTGATTGTTAAGAGCCGTGAACTCATTTCTCATGATAGCCTCACTCTCCTTTATCGTCTCCTCTTTCACCCCTTCCTCCGCCAACCTCTGCCTCAACCTGTCCGTGGACACTGGCGGCGCCGGCACCGTTGCTCCCGCGGCCTCATCGGATATGGTCGTCCTTGGAAACAGGTCCTTCACCGCCTGCAACGCATCCATCCACATTTCCCTATCTTCCGGGCTCTCCGCCCTCAGTTGTAGCCTCTTCGACGTCCCCGTGTACACCGAAAACCGCCTGTCGTCCGATCGGCTGTTCCGGATTGTCGACACCTGTCCCCCAGTATCAACAAATTAAATATGGTATATAAAAGGAAATATTATAATACAGCAGAAGATAAAAATACAAAATCATATGTTACAAAATTCCTACAAAACTCATCACTATTCGTCCATCAGATCACATCCACAGTAAAAAAGACACACTTACAAGAAATGAGTACAAAAAGGTTAACAACTAAACAAAATACAGTTAACCAAAATCGACCCTACTAAAAATTAGGGCTGGCTATTTGGTCCCGGGCTGTTTGGTTTTACCCGAAACCGGACCGTATAACCCGGACCGGAACCGGACTGGGACCGGATAGCAAACAATGCAATCTCATATTCGGGCTTAGATTTGAGGTAAAAAACCGGATAAAGGCCGGATAAGAGACCCCCAACACCTAAAATCAAGATAAAATTGGGACCGGACCGGGTCAAGACCGGACCGGATCAAGACCGGACTGTATCCAATCCAATCTTTGGTCCTTATATTCCCGAAAAGACCGGACTAGGACCGGATCAATTTGGTCCAATTTAACCGGACCGGACCGTATAGCCACCCCTACTAAAAATGATCGATTATCAATTAATCACTAATTGTACCATTTACCAAATCTAATTATCATGTAAGAACTTAAAATGTCCTTTTTCCAGGATTAAAATTCATTGTACAAAGAAAAGACAACTCCAGTAACTCAAAATCTTGTTGTAAAATTAATTGTTGGAAATAGAAATATAATTAATGTTGAGAAACTAAGGATGATTTGTACCTTGAGATGGACTTCACCGACGGGATGGCAAAAGCGGCGGGGTTCAGAAATGGATCTGGTCTGGCGGGAGATCCACCGCATGGACTCCTCGCCGACGACTTTGCTGCAGCCGTTGAAGGAAGACGCCGAGGAGAGCTTGTTGAGAGCCTGGCGATTGAGAGTGATATTATGTTGGCCTTTGCCGTGGATCTTATAATACGACAAAACTCCATCCTGAAGGACGAACCACCTTGGCCGCCACCCCCTCCCGTAATTCACCCACTTGTGTAGTATCCCGGAGAGCACGCCGGCGGCGGTCGGCATTGCCAGATCGTCGTCATCATTGGCGTCATTCATATTATTCATGTGGCGTTGCGGCATGGAGGCGGACCTGTAATCGAGAGATCGCCGATTGGGCTTGGGGAGATCGGAGCCTCCGGCGCCGCGGTGGCGGATGTTGTTGCTGGATCGGCTTTGGTCGAAGGAGCGGAGAGATGCCATCGGAACGGCGAAGCTTCGGTAGTGACGGTCGTGGCTGTCGTGATCGAGAAGCTGCATCAACGGGGTACTGGGTGGATCCGACATCTTTTTGATGAGTCGTGAGGCATTTAATTAGGAGAAGATAAATATTTATTGCTGAAATTTAAATTTTGGAAAAGAAGAAAGAAAACAGATATTGGTGTAGGGGATTAAATTGGGGAATTGAAGGCATAAGCTTTTGACGACGCCTGTTGGTTACCGGCGGGGAGGTGGGCTTTGCGCTTTCTTTCCGGCTGGTTTCTCCCTAATGCTGTTGTGGGGTTCCGGCCGGAAGAATAGCCTGGATGATGTGACTATGTGATTATTCGCCTTCTATTCTTTCCTTTTGGCTTTTTTGTTGTTGTTTTTGTTGCTTTTAAGATAAGCAAATTTGGGAAGGGTCGATGAATGCGGGGCAATGATCTCTAGATTAACGTGCATCCCTATCAGTTTTGGTAAATTCTTCCAATTATTTTTTTGAGCTCTATGGTCCTTATCCTCCTGATATTTTTTCTAAAAATATAAATAATCCGTCTAACAAGTTTTTTTCTTTTTCATTTTGAGTGAACTAGTATAACTTTCAATTTGTCTGAATATTGGTTGCGATATCGTATTATACTATACGACACATTTCAAACATTTTTATAAAAAGGAGGGTGTTGGTACATTGGATAAATATATTATCAATGTTGATACATTCTGAGAAATATCTACTAGTAGTTGTTGCTCATGGATATGGAACAGGCTGGAAATTCGTGATACGGTGAGGGATTTTCTAACTTGTTGTGATGCTTTAATGTTCTGGAAAGGTATACGAATAAACACATTTTCTGGCAATGTTGTCTAGAGTGACTTGCAGATTTTTGGGCCAAAGGTGCCATGATTTTCCTTAGTATAGTCAACTTATTCCGTTCAAACAAACATAGTACTATAAGTTAAAGTATTCAATTTCCGTGGAACATTCAATTTTCAAATGTTCTTCCACACTGTTACTTACCTGCATTCCTCTACTTTCGTCTCGCTGATTCTTTCCCATTTCACTTCATAATGATTGCTTGCTCCTCCTCCTGAGTAAATATAAGCTCGATGATATCTCTCCTCCAATACCTCGTGTCTTGGTCAATAAGGCATGTCATTTAAAATCCCAATCAATAAAAGGAGTGAATGAATAGAATTGAAAATTATCCAGGCTAGGCACCCAACGATTGCCCCAAAATTTGACATCCTCCCTTGGACCTATCTTCCATCTTCAACTTCAGCAGCTCCCGGGCTCCCACAAGACTCCTTCATATGTAGCTCGACTTCCATCCAACTTTTCCCTCCAGAATATTGCATCTCGGATGGTACTTGGCTTTGAGAAGTTTGCAGCAAGAGATTGAGGTTCCAAAGTTGCTTTGCGAGAATGGCTATATTGAAAATTTTGAGGTTCCTAAATCCCATTCATCTCTAATCTTTCTTCCTGAAAAAAGCTTCTTCCATTGCTTCTAGTGGATTCTTCTTTCATTACCCTTATGCTCCCACCAGTAATTAGCAATCATACTACTAATATCATCAATGATTCGATCAGGAATTTTCAAGACCCACATTGCGTAGGTAGCTTGGGTTTACACAATACTTTTGATAAGAATTTATTTCCTTCCAACCGAAAATAATGTGCTCTTCCAGTTAGTCAACTTATCACGGACTCTATCTTTGAGATTGCTGAAGACTATGTTCTTCGATCTACCAATCATGGTAGGAACCCCCAAGTGTTTCGCCAGCTTATGCACTTCCCTTATGTTCATCTCCTGACATATTTCTCTTCTTCTTTCAGACACAATGTTTTTATTGGAGTAAACTCCTAACTTGTCCAAATTAATCATCTGCCTTAATTCCTTCTCATATTTGTTAATATCTCTTTCAATCTTCTCCCTTCCTCCACGCTAGCTCTTACAAAAATAATGCAATCATAAGAAAACAAGAGATGTGAAATAACAGTGGCTCTATTACCTATCTTAAGACCATGGATCTTTATTTCAGCATCATACTTATTGATCAAAGCCGGAAAACCATCAAAAAAGGTTTTTATTTATTAATGTTTTTTTTACTATTATACCCTTATAAAAACTGTTAGCAGGGTGTTAACACTAGAGGGTGTTAACACCCTATTCACTCTCTTAATTAAAGGAAAAAGTTTGTGATCAATTTTTATTTATTTATTTTGGCATTATCCCGACGTGCATCCAATTAACCTCATCAGGAAGACCATTTGACATTTTGTATGTTGAAGTTCATGTTTTGATTTGTAATTAACCATTTAACCTCTTTAATTATGTGAATAATTACCAGCTTAATCCTTGGGATTAGGGTTGTTCGGCCGATATATAGTTGTGTTGATTCAGCTGAGGTTTGTATGGCTTGTACAGTACTTCCTGGGTGAGAATAAAATTGACGCAGCGAGGCTCTTTCCGTGCACTAGTCTCAACGCACAATGTTGAGGAAACCTGATAGAACTCAAGGTGAGCTCTACCTGCGTTGTAGGGATTAGGATCAACTAGGGATTGATCCGGGGTTTAGAAAACGGACAAAGAAGTGGAATTGGGAATTGTGGAATTGTGGAAGAGCAAAGGGAAGGGGAAAGGCGGCTGGTCGCCAGCCGAAGAAGAAGAAAGGGGGGGGGGGGGATTTGCGGCGCGCAGCAGAGAAGGGAGAGAGAGGAAATGGGGTCGGCAGAGGGAAGGTGAGAGAGTGAGAGAGTTTAGGATTTGAGGCTTTGATTAATTCTTTTTCCTAACCCTAATTCTAACTTACAATAGTTTATATAGAAATGACTAATTTCCTACTACTACCCAATCTATCACTTATTCCCGAATAGTCCTCATAATCCGAATAATAATAAACCGACAATTAATCAAGTACTAAAATATAAGTTTCTATCATCCCCGCTTCCTTCGAAAATCAACCTTGTCCCCAAGGTTGTTCCTCTAGCTCACTAGGTCTCCTCTTCATCATTTCCGGCATCCTCAGCATAGTCTTCTGCGTCATCCTCCCATCGTCCCACTAGCATCATCAAATCTTCCTTGGGGCACTGATGCCCAATGGTGAATCGGCCATCACACTTGAAGCACTTGCCTTCCCGCCTCTTCTGCTCAATCTCAGCTGGTGACAGTCGCGCGAACCCTTTAGGTATGGCCCGCGGCCCCATCCTGGCCACCGGAGCGGGGCCTCCACTGCCAGTGTTAGCCCCGGTTGCGCCTACCCCTGGCGCTCCTCCCGCGCCTCCACTACTCCCGCTGTTCCCTCCCCCTCCGCTTGACTTCAGGAAACGGCCAATGGCGCTCCTCCAACTAGCGAGCTCTTCCTCCTTATGACCTGCAAGACGGAAAGCCGCCTTCAGGGAATCAGGCTCGAACACCCGGACTGCCGCCGCTATCTTGGGCTTAAGACCCGCCATGCACAGCCCCACCAAGGTGTCCTCTGAGACTCCTTTACACTGGTTCCCCAACTTGAAAAACTCTGCACGGTATTCAGCCACCGTGCCGGCCTGCTTCAGTTTTGCCAACTGCTCGGGAGCCCACCCATCGGACTTCCCGAACTGATAACGGAGCTCTTCCTGAAACATAGGCCAAGTGATTAAGGTGGCTGCGGCGGTGTAGGACCGTTCCATCCACTCCCACCACTGGAGCGCATCTCCCTCCAGATAAAACGACGCCAGATAGGCCTTCCTCTCCTCCGGAATTGGATGGTTTCTAAACCACCTCTCCACTGCATACAACCAAAGACCTGCATCCTCTTGCCCATTGAATTTGGGAAACTCAATGGTCGGAGGCTTAGCTCGAAAAACTACTCCATCCATTCCCTCATAATTCATGTAGTGGGACCCATACCTGTCATTTCCTGGAGTCCTCCATGGCTGCCCAAAAGAAGAGCCCGGCATCCGATTCGGCTTCTCATAGCCATAGTCACCCGGATAGCTGCCCTGCAGGTTCGGGTACCCTCCTGGCGCGTGAGGCGCCCCGTACGGAACCTCCCAACTGGCTGGTTCCCAGCTGTCCACCCTCCTGTACTGCTGGGCCGTCAGACTCGGACGATGCCCGGTTCGACCTACTTCCGGTCGACCCATCCCGGTCCGGTCCGACCCGGTTCGGCTCACCTCGGTTCGGTAAGCTTCGGTCTGACCGATTCCAACTCGATCGGTCTCGGTCCGGCCCCCTTCGGTCCGCCCCATTAGGGCCGCCCCTGGCCGCCCAACCGGTTCTGCAGGCCTCCTCGGCCCATTCGGCCCCCTCTGGTCCACCTCTGGTTCAGCCCACTTGGCCTGTCGGTCCGTCAGGCTAAGTTCGTCACACTCGGGCCCATCCTCCAGATCCAACCACCCCAGCCCGTTATGGATCTTCGTGTATTGGCCCATCAGCTCCGGCCCACTGTTCATGTGAGGCCCGTCTATGTCATAACCGGTCATCTTGGCCTTTCCTTTCCGGGCCGCAATCTCTTGGGCCGTAGGCGTCGGTAGCAGACCCGGGCCCACACCTAGCCCTACCTGCGTTGGGCCTGTCCCCGCTCCGCCTCCGCCGGTTCCCGGCCCGCTCTCAGCCGTCGTCCGCCCCACCGGCGCCTTCTCCGCCTCCTCGAGCCCCGCACCTGGGCCGGCTGCCACCGCCCCCGGCGCCGCCACTCCTCCTTCAGCGGTCGCGCCGCCTCTGCCTGCCGCGGCCTCCGCCGCCGAGCTCTCGCCGCCGGATCTGCCCGCCGCGGCGATCGCTAGCGAGCCCGTGCCTCCGGTGGTGCCGCCTCCGCCTCCTCCTCCTGCTCGCCCCAGGGCCTCCGCCACCATTGCCTTTAGCTCACCAATAGCGAGCCACATCCTCTGCGACTCCGCCTCCCAGGCTCACGCTTCCGTCTCTCGAGCTCGCTCGCCCTTCAGTCGGGACCGACGCTCCTGCTCCATGGCCTCTGCCATTTTGGTCATCTCAGCGCGGAGCTCTTCTCCCAGCGTCTCATCCACCATCTCTCCATCCCGTGATCCGGGAAACTCGAGCGCGCCATCGCAGGTGGTCACGGGACCGGTAGCCGCGATCGCCTTGGCGGCCGCCTCTTGCGCTGCCTTGGCGGTCTTTTCAGCTGCAGTCATGAATTTGGTCGATACCATCTCGATCGTCGTTCTTGTGTGCGCAGAAATCAAGAGCCAGGCTCTGATACCAAATGATAGAACTCAAGGTGAGCTCTACCTGCGTTGTAGGGATTAGGATCAACTAGGGATTGATCCGGGGTTTAGGAAACGGACAAGGAAGTGGAATTGTGGAATTGTGGAAGAGCAAAGGGAAGGGGAAAGGCGGCTGGTCGCCAGCCGAAGAAGAAGGG